ACAGAAGGAACTGCAAAAACAATCCTTCTTGGGATTTAAAACAATACAAAACAAAAAATAACATCTTGCTTTTGAAATACTATAATTTGAAAACATCTGGTACATTCTCCAGTCTGATTGTACTGTGATTTTTTTTCTCATCAACAAAACATGTACCAGTGGTTTTGGAGTTGTGATTCTGCCCTTCCCCTCTTGGGCTTATGAAGCACATTCCCTGTTTTAGGATACCATTTTCACATTCCCTTCATTACTTTGAATGCAGCGCCCCATCATTCCTTCCAATACTTTCCACTTTTCCATTTTTACAAGATATATCGGTAGATTCCATTTTAAGGACTAAAATCCTTGTTTCCCTGACAAGGATGTCCCCTCACTTGGTATCAGAAACAGCACATGGTGATATGAAACAGAGAATTAGCAACCCCAGGCATGATCTATCCCCATTTGTCTCATTTTGACAACACTGGGACTCAGCCAAACAAAGTTACTATAGAGCCTACTCTGGCCTGTCATGAACAGAAAGTGACTGTCATAGTTAGCTAAGCAATGTCTGATTCCAGCCCAGAACACCTACCACTTTGTGACAGGTTCAATACAAAATGAAATAGTCATTTTGTATTTTCTTGTAGTGCCTCTTCCTTTCTTTGGCATATCAATGCACACTATATTAGGAAAGGACACCTCACATGTTACAATTTGGCAAATGAGGCAGGTAGTAACAAACAGGGCCTTAACTTGCTGTAATTATATGCACAGGTAGGCAGATGCCTAATTCTGTGCAAAGTGTATTTCATAACTGATTTTCAAAAGACAAAGACAATTCTAGTCTGTAGCAGCCCCATGGAATGGATAGGTAAGACTTTTAATAAAGTTTCTAACTGTAAACAATGCTTTTGTATTGGTGATTATTTTCCAGAACTTGAAATTTCAGGACAGTGCAACAATGCTCTTTGTGTCTTCTTTGGCAATAAATAGCAAGGATCTGGATGGAGAGTGGAGTGGTCACTTCAGAAGGGCCAGGTATAGAGCTTGAGAATACTTCATCTCCCGTTCCTGTGCCATACAAAATATCAAGTCCCTGAGGCAGATTCTCGTGATTCGTGGATGAAGCAACTGTTTGGTGGCTCTCAGGCTGGATGTCTCAGAAGCAAGAAGGTTGTCTTTTAAAACCTCACTTCCAGATTCTAGTGGTCTCTTCTTCTTGGTCCAGTAGCTGCAAGAGCTGTGAGATAAGCATCTCTATGCTGGATCTGTGCAAGTTCCAACTGCTGTAATCTGGCGTTTTGCTTTAATCTCAGCTGTTCTGGGTCTTCTTTATTAGAATGACTCTTGGCTGCCTTAAGTAACATTGCTCTTTGTTCTAAATCCTTTCTCTGCTTCTCCAATTGATCCAGCTTTTCAGAAACTTTGAGCTGTAACCTGTTATCACTACACAGGATATAATTTTCACTTGCCTTGTAAGTAGTCATTCTATGCTGAGCAATTGCAGTCAGTTTTTCTAGAAGGCTTTGTAATTGTTCCTGTGTTGCATGGTAGATAAGTCCACAGCATTAGAGTTAAGTTCTGTAATGTCATGCTTTTTACCAATGTCTAAAATTCTCTTTCGTAGAGCTCCAATAAAAAGATGATTCATCTTTACATGACTGAATGAGTGTGCCAACCAATTCAGAGTTTGTTGCTAAGATGCAGGCATTTTCTTCATTAAGGTTGACCCCTGCCATAGAAGTCACATCATTGATGTCATCTTCATCTCTGAATCATGTTGTTCCATTCTCCTTTATTTCATTTTTCTGAGTAGGAGATGCTTGAAGTGACAGAATTTTATTTCCAGGCAGAGTAATTTGCTTTAGAGTGGAAGCTGGAGGAAACCGACTGGTAGGTATTACGGTGTTCCCTGGCATCATCTTCTGGCCAGATTTCTGAATGGTCAGTGCAGAGGAATGTGAGTTTGGTCATCTGTTTTTCATTGCCTCCTAAAGGCTGCTGAACCACTGGTTGCTTGACTTGAACTGCCTGTAGAATCCCAGCTGTGAAAGGACAGGGTCCAGCTGGACAAGTTTGATTTGAATTGGAGTGCCAATAACAGGCTGGTCAGATGTGGTCCCAGCAGAAGTAACAACAGGTTTCACAGATGGAAGACAAATGGCTGCACCTAAAGTTTCTCAAAAGTTACTGCTGGAAGGGACACTGTTACTGCTGTTCCAGAGACAACTGGCTTTTCAGGTTGCAGTGAGACTGTTGTCACTGTGTTTGGTACAGATGTCACAAGTGGTTTTGAAGTCTGAAGCAAAACAGTTCCAGCTATTGTTCCTCCTGTTACAGCAGCTGGGCCAACAGAATGAAGTGTCACAACTCAAGCTTTTGCTCCTTCTGGACCACCAAGTGGGTTCAAATTTTGCACTGACACAGTTCTGGGTGCTGTTGCTCCAGAAACAATAATGGACTTTTCAGACTGGCTTGAGGATACTGTTGTCACCACAGGAGAAGTTGTTACTGTTGTGGTACACGTAGCAATGACTCCCTCACTAGAAGTCTGCTGACCACATTGCTGGATGAAGCTCTGGGAGTTAGGCAGAAGTTGTCGTAAGCAACCACATTTTTCTTAAGAAAAGGAACCAGGTGAGGCTGAGGTCACTCTCCTGGAACAGCACCTGGAGTCGGCACACCCAGCCTCCCCTCACCTCAGCTCCCCAAACCGCAGTGCCACAGCTGCCGCTGAGCCTGTAGGGGTGCTCCTCGGCCTCACTCGTCCCCCGGTGCTGCTCTCCCGGCTGCTGTGAACGCCGGCTGAAGACTTGAGTTCAACATACAGTTTCCTAGGAAATTCTTCAATTTTTGCATCCAAAAGTTGTTCTACCAGCTTCTTCACATTTTGCTCTATTTCTGGGGACTGTGATCCACCACATGCTAGTTTTATGAACATTGCAAGGAAGTTCTTGCATTTCTTCACATTTTCTAGCATTGTCAGAGAAAGATTAATTTGAACAGCTGCTGAGTTCTCTGCTTTAAGATTGGGCTCATTTGAGGGGGTGGATGATGCTCCCAAACATCAGGGTAGCTACAGTAATCAGTGGCTTTCCAGGAGTTACTGTAACCACACTGGTAGGCACAGCCCCAGACGGCACTACACAGATTGTGACTTTGAGGATTGGCTGGTACTGCTGGCCTTGAAGTTACGTTACTTGTGGTCTCGGCTCTTGCTTGCTGAGGATATCCTAACATCAACTGACCACTGTTAGTTTTGATCAAAACGGTTCCCGGAGGAAGCTGCAAATTAGCAGGAAACTGGATTGTCGTGGTGCTAGGGGCTTTCACAGCGACCATCTGAGGAGCAGGCAGCCTAGGGCCGCTGCTGAGTCTAGGAGAGGCGTTGACAGAAGCCACTTTGGTCACCAGGGTCCCCACGGGGGACCGCAGGGGCTGGGACGCCGTGGGCTCCATGCAGACACTGACAGGAGCCTTAGTCACGGCACCCAGGGCCACTGGAGTGCTCTCTACCCGCACCAGCAGCGCCTCGGCTGCCCCAGGGACGGGGCCATGGTCACGGTCATGGTCCGGGAGGCGCTCACAGCAACCGGGAGAGCAGCGCCGGCGGGACTAGTGAGGCCGATGAGCAGCCCCTAAAGGCTCAGGGGCAGCTGTGGCGCTGCGGTTCCGGGAGCTGAGGTGAGGGGAGGCTGGGTGCACCGACTCGGGGTGCAGTTCTGGGAGAGGCGTGGGGGTCGCGGCAGCGAAGTCGGTGAGGGGCGCCGGCTTCACTGCAGGATACGCACCTCCCGAACCTTCCTCTCGTCCGCGCGAGCCTGGGCTGCCCGCGGAGCAACACCCGCCAGGCTTCTCGCAGCTTGCTCAGCAGAGCTCACACGTGCGCCTCAGGCTCGGTCCCACGGAGGGAGGTGACCTCTGCTTCAATGTGAGCATCCACGATCAGGTCAACATGGGTGCCGGCTTCAGAGCAGCCAACTGGTGCCTAGCAAAAACAAACAAAACCAAAGAGTCTCCGGATCTCCAGAAACCGATTAAACAAAAATATTTATAGAACACCTAGTAAGTGAAGGACATTTTGTAGGTAGTTTGGTTCCTTTCCTGAAGGAGAGGGCTTTCCGGGGGAGTTGGAGATACATGCACGCGTGGGAGATGACGGCTCACTGCAGGGCGACACATCATCCGTGCTGAAGGAGTGCCGGTGTTTCAGAAATGGACACAGAGCAGGTCAGTGGATGGACAGGGAAGAGGAGCCCTCTCTCTGTGCCAGCACTGTTCTGAGTGCCCTGGGCCTTCTGGGCATGAGATGAGCGTTTTTCAGTTGTATATGGGACACTGAGGATCGTGCAAGGCAGAAGTGAGCTCTTTCCTGGAAGGAGTTAATCTAGAAATCATGATCTGTCTCATTTGGGAGAAGCTAAATAAATATTAAATGAAGCAAAGGTCAATAAGAAAATGTGTATTTTACCTATAAAATTACCTATCAGAATTTACCATGAGTCATAATCTTAGTTAAGTGCCCAAATTAATGATTTCAGACCACAAATACTGAAACACCGAAGTGATAAGGCAGCAGGTATTTCAGTTAGCTACTGCTGCATAACAAATAACCCCAAAGCTTAGGGACTTAAAACAATGATTTGTTATTGCTTGTCATTCTGTCAGCTGGGAGGTTGTTCTGCTGGCCTCGCCTGGGCTCATGCACACAGCTACATTTAGCTAGGGTGTCAGCTGGGAGATGGGCATAGCTGGGATGCTGGATCACCTGAGTCTTTCTCTCCATGTGGTATTGTTTTAAAATATAGGTTTTAGTGCTGCCTCAGGATGTAAAGTGTAACAAGAAGGCGGGGTGGGCATGGGCCTGTGATGCTTGTGTGTGCCCCTAGCTCCCCCAGCAGGGGGCTCCACAGTGGTCTGTTCTGGTTGCCACGTGTGGATTTGGGTTCCAAATGGAAGGCTGCGTGTTCTTCTCTTCTTATTGTTGCCCCAGTTACTGTGGTGACCACTAGAGCAGCCTTAGCGCCATGCAGGAGCCCAGGTCTAACTCTCAGCCCTACTGGGGGTTGGTCCTGGTGGAGCTGAGCAGAGTTGTGGCAGCACTGCCTCAAAATATGACAGCAGATTCGAATTCTTATGGGTTTCCATGGGAATTAGTGATATGGGCAGCTATTGTTGGATTTTTTGCTGTTCCCATTTTTTTGTGGAGAAGTTTGAGATCGGTTAGGAGTTGGCTTTATGTGAGAAGAGAGAAAAAGCTTGCCAGTGTGCTTTCTGGACTAATTGACAAGAAATGTAAACTACTTGAAAAATTTACCCTTGTTAAAAAAGAGTATGAAGGCTATGAAGTAGAGTCATCTTTAAAGGAGGCCAGCTTTGAGGAGGAGGCAACAGAGGCACAAAGTTTGGAAACAACATGTGAAAAGCTGAACAGGTCCAATGATGAACTTGAGTATGAAATACTTGGTCTCGAAAAAGAGTTAACAGAAATCAAAACATTCCGAACAAAATCAACTGATGGCAGATATTTCAAAAACGATACAGTCTCTAGGAGATGAGTCAGAATCTCTCAAATCACAAGTAGCTGAAGCCAAAATCATCTTCAAGATACCTCAAATGAATGAAGAACGACTGACGATAGCAATAAAAGATGCCTTGAATGAAAATTCTCATCTTCAGAAAAGCCAGAAACAGCTTTTGCAAGAAGCTGAAGTATGGAAAGAACAAGTGAGTGAACTTAATAAACAGAAAATAACATTGGAAGACTCCAGAGTACACACAGAACAAGTTCTAAATGATAAAGACAATCACATCGAGACTGACTGAACGCTTGCTGAAGATGAAAGACTGGGCTGCTGTGCTTGGAGAAGACATAATGGAAGATGAGAACTTGAAATTAGCAATGAACAGTGAATCAGAAGAATGTGCTTACTTAGATCATCCTCCAAAAGGAGCTGTGAAGAAACTGATTCATGCTGCTAATTTAAATGCGTCTTTAAAAATCTTGGATAGACAAAGGAAACAAATTGATTTTCAGTTATCTGAAGTCGAAAAAACAAAAGAGCTTGCACAGTGCATTAAAAATCTTCAGACTCAACAAGCATCTTTGCAGTCTGAAAGCACACATTTAGAAAGTGAGAATGAGAAGCTTCAACAGAAACTTAAAATAATGACTCAATTCTATCAAGAAAATGAAATGAGACTCTATAGGAAATTAACACTACAGGAAAATAGCTGGTTAGAGAAAGAAGAGAAACTTTCTAAAGTAGACAAAAAGATTGTCCATGCCATCGAGAAGCTGGAAACCTATAGAAAGCAAGCCAAAGATCTTGAAGAAGAATTCAAGAGAACTATTCATTACTATCAACGGCTGACTATTGCCTATGAGAAAAAAGCACATCGTAATTGGTTGGCAGCTCGGACTGCTGAAGGAAACCTCAATGATTTAAGGAAAGAAAATGCTCACAGCAGACAAAAATTAACTGAAATACAGTTTAAACTGTTAGGAAAAGATCCTGATGCACTTTATGTTCCAAATACGGCATTTGGCAGAGAACATTCCACATATGGTCACTCACCAGTGGGTGGACCCTCATCTGAAACGAGAGCTTTTCTCTGTCCTCCAACTCTGTTGGAGGATCCACTCAGACTCTCACCTTTGCTTCCTGAGGGGAAAGGAAGAGGCTCAAGAGGCCCAGGAAATCTTCTGCATCATCAGATTACCAACAAAAGAGGAGAATCAACCTGTGGTAGGTTACCGAATCCTCACAGGGCTCCTTCTGACACTGGGTTCCTGTCACCTCCGTGGGAACAGGACTGTAGGATGATGTTTCCTCCACCGGGACACCAGGTCTACTGTGGTTGTAGACAAATGGGAAAGTAACTTTATTCTTAATTAAATAAAGTTTAGTTGGTTTAAAAAATATATACATATATGTTTTATTATTCTTCAGGTGCAGAGAGACAAACAGATCAAGAGTCTATTCCCACTGAAAAGACAGTTTGTGACTCACAGATCCCGAGAAGGGAAAGTACTATGCCATGCAGGAGCACATGGGGAGGCACTGTGGTCACTGAGAAGGCAGGAGTGATGGGAAAACATGGGCAAGAGCCTTTATTGTGGTTTCCGTGGGAAGGAATGAATGAGGCAATGTGAACTGGGTTACAGTTAGGTACTACAGTATGAGTAATTTCAGCAGGCTCTGGGCTTAGGGGTTGTCCCTAGTTATCTGGTACCTGGCCATGGCGTGATTAGGGCAGAGGAATAGTGGCCTAGAGTGTGTGAGTCCTCTGGAAGGCTGATGAAGTGGGTATGAGTTCTGGACTGGTTAGTTTGTGTGTGAAAAGCACACTCATGGGCAACTTGTTTCCTGTCTCTAGCAATTGGCTAACCCTGGGAGGGACAGGCCTGCCAAAATCAGCAAGGCCCTAGATGTCGAAGCATCAGAATACATAAAGAGACATGGTTAATATGGTATCAGAGCCTCTGTCTTTATGTGGCCTTTCATGAAGGGCTCTAGAGGGAGCTCCCTTGGTGGATGTCAAGGACTGTTCAAGACAGCAGAAGCCACAAGGTCACATACAGCCTCAGCTTGGAAGATATACAACATTACTTCTGCTGATCCCATGGGTCAAAGCAAGTCACAGACGCACCCCAGATCCCTGCTCACGCTGAGAGGAGAGGAACATTAACCATGTGGGAAGGGAAGGTCATCACCGTTGTTTTTGCCAACAACCTGCCACAGAAGATGTGGCTTCGGAGTGCTGCCAAGGCCTTTCTGAGTGGACCAGATCCAATAGGAAGAGCAGAAAGAAGCTGCGTTCCAGCTCATTTGTCTTTGCTAGTGTGGAGTCAGGGTATAGCTTCCCTCCCACTATTGGTCCCCACATTGAGGGTCAGTTGGGTGTTTGCCCAGGAGCCTGCAGGGACTTTTTTGTGCCTTTAGAGGAGGGTTGGCATGGCTTTGGGTTGCTGTCTTGAAACCACCCCAGGGCCTGGCATCCCGGGAGAGTGCCGGCCTGCTCTGGCAGGGAGCCCAGGCCTGTTTGCAAACTGAATGGCTTAGGGTCAGGCTCTTTCATAGACATATTATTTTCTTATCAGGGGTTAAAATAACCCTAGAACTTCTCCCATCGAAATGTAGAAGCTTTATTACAATGAAAGTACTACTTGTAAAGCATATGGAATTAGGCCAGAAACAACCAGCATCTACTTCACACTTTAGGGTCCATGAAGCACTTTCTCCTGTGCCCTCCCTTGTTCTCACAGTCACCTGTGGTTAGGCCTCATTATCCTACTTTTTCATATCAGAACACTGAAGCTCTAGGGGCTCCCTGCTCCCTGTCCTGCTGGGGGCTCCAAATTGGCTTAGGGCCCTAGGAGTTACCCTGGGCCCAAGGGTGAAGCTATGGGAGCCCTACAAAGCCTGCCCCGTTTCATGCCGGCACGTCGGTGAATTCCTTCTCTCCCCCATACCTGCTCATTCTGTGTGGCTGCACTCATTAGATTATTTCACCCTTTGAATTAGATGCCTCAGTCCCCTTTGTGGGCCCAGTTAATCTCTGCAGGGGGTACTGACACCCCAGGTACAGCCCAGCCCTGCATGCTGTTCTTTGCTCCAGGGACCCCACCTGGTCCACCATTTGCTGGGAGATTTCAGTCCCTCCAGAACACAAGCCTGTGAGGAGCCACACTGGCTCCAGAGCCCGAGCCCCAGTCACCGCTGGGTGCAGTGCACATTCCTCTGCTGTGCGGTGGTGGAGCTTCATCCTGGTGGTCCTCTGTTCTGGATCTAGGTGTCTCAGTGAGACGCCAGCCTGGCTGCTTCAGAGCCCCAGGTGAAGCCGTCATTCTCAATCCGATGGCGGCGTCTCAGCTGAGTTGCTGTCCAACATAAAACCACGGGGCATTGTGCTCAGACACACGCTGACACTAACCGAGGCTAATGAGGCAGGGCCTCTCATAACAGCATTCTGTTTCTTTGGAAACCAAGGTGTAGTTTTTAAAATATCGCATGGCCCTCAAGCACATTTTGCATTTCCTAGCAATTTATTCTACCATTTTTACAGGGACCTGGGGCAGCTTCCCTGCGGGATTCCACTTCCTGTTTGGGTCACTCTGGGCAGCCTCCCTGCAGGATTCCACTTCCTGTTTGGGTCGCTCGGGGCAGCCTCCCTGCAGGATTCCACTTCCTGTTTGGGTCGCTCGGGGCAGCCTCCCTGCAGGATTCCACTTCCTGTTTGGGTCGCTCGGGGCAGCTTCGCTGGAAGATTCCACTTCCGGCTTGGGTCGAGGGCTTGCTCCTTGCCTCTCTGCTCCGTGAGTGTTTCCTTTGCGAAGGGAGGGACCTGGCCTTCTAGAAAACATCTCAAAGCCCTGCTGAAGAGCAGCTCCAGCTTCCCTTGGGATGCCCTGAAGAAGGTGCTTTTCAAATGAGAGGGCCTCAGGAGGGCAGTGACATCTCCCTGACTCGGGCGAGTCAGGTGCGGCTCCAGCCAAGGTGAGTGGGCCTGCCGCGTCCGGGGTGGTGACAGCAGGCACTGAGACCCGGAATCATGGCCCCGTGAGGTTGCTGAAGTCCTGCCTCTGGGGCCTCCTTTAGTGTCGCGACAGCTCTTTTCTCTGGAAGAGGGCAGTCTCTCTCCCTGCAGGAACCACCTTCAGCCTGGTATTTCTTTTCCTGCCTGGGGCTGTCCTCTGTCGACTGCTCCGTGGTGTCTGCTGTTTTTCTTAGCTCAGTGCTTCTCAGCGAGGGTGCTTGACCTCCCCCAGGGCCATTTGGTAATGTCCAGAGATACTTTACACAGTTACTACTGGAGGTGTGCTACTGGCGTCAAGTGGATGGAGGCAGGGGATACTGGGTGGAGGCAGGGGATACTGGGTGGAGGCAGGGGATGCTGCTAAACACCCCACAGCACACAGGACAGACTCTCACAGCAAAGAATTATCTGTTCCAAAATGTCAGTACTGATGGGGTTAGGAAACCCTACTAATGATGGTGTTTCTTACCTGGTAAATAAAATTCAAGATTCTCAGCCTCCGCATCAGTACAGAATGAATGTTTCTTAACTGAAATGCTTGGAGCCAGAAGTGTTTTAGATTTAGGATTTGGGAATATTTGCATTATATTTACTGGTTGAGCATTCCCAGGCTGAAAATCTGAAATCTAAAATGCTCCAATGAGCATTTCCTTTGAGCATGACCTTTTAGCATCATGTTGATGCTCAAAAAGTTGCAGAATTTGGAGCATTTCACATTTCTGGATTGCTCAACCTGTACCCTTCACAGTATCTTGAAAATGGACCATGCGTATCTTAACTGTTTTGATTTAGAGCCTCCTCTTCCATTTCCATACCATGAATTCCTATTCCAGACCAGAAATAAATCATTCACTACTACTATTTATTAGCTACTGAAGGCCGGGTGATGTTTTCCCAGATCTTCCTCATCATAGTCGTGATCATTATCATCATCATCATCAATTACTTTAGGCTCATCATAAGAATTGCATATAAGCTAGCCAACAAGCAGTCGTCAGTCATCTGCCTGTAGTCCAGTGCTACCTGAATTCAGTTCCTGTCATCATGTATTTCTTAATTTCAAAATAGGCAGCACTAAAACTGGTCCATGGGCTTATTACCATCACCATCATCATGATCGTCATTACCATCACCATCATCATCATCACCATCATTGTTATCGTCATTGCAAACCAGGCAACAAGCAGTCACTAAGCTCATGCTGATTCTGATGCTGATGCTGATGGTGAATGGGAAGCAGCGCTACAGAAAACCGCCTCACTCCTAGCAGCGCAGGGCCACAGGTGCTCTGTGTTAGGTTGAGTGTTCACTTGTTTCAGTGTGAATGCATTTTTGTTAAGAGTTATTAGCATCCGAGCTTCTGACCAGATCCTTCTTTCTAAATACACACACACACACACACACACACACACACACACACACACACAAAAGGCTGTTGGAGAAACCCAAATGGTGTCACTAAACATGCACATCAGAGGAGGCAGGTGGGAGAAGACATTTTGGTTGCTCAACCAGGTATGATTCTGCCAGAGCAAAAGACTTTATGTGGCTCTCTTTTCTGCCCCAGCACTGCCTTGTTATGGCTATGATAGGTTTATTGAAGCTAAGTTCGGGCATTCTGGGGCAGCCTTTGTCTCACACCCACAAGTCTTTTTCATTTTTCAACTGCCACTGAAGTCTGGAAATTGCACTCTGCCTTTTCTTCAGGCCCCATAGAAACGGTCTCCTGGGTGTTGTAACTTAGCATCTGACTCCATTAGATGCCCAGCGCCTCCTGCACTTACCCCGAGGGATTGGGAAAAGAGGTGTTCTGGGGAGACTGGGAGGCGGAGACTGAGTTTGCCCTCTATTTGGTGGCTTTCCCTGTACAGTGGAGAGAGCAGCCAGAATCTGAAATGACAACAGACATTGTCATCTGACGTAGTCTCTCTTCCCTCCCTGACCTCGTTCCTGTGCCACCTTGCCCTCCCTCTCTCCTGCTTCCAACACTTAGGAATGAATTATGAAGTGTCTTATTGGAAAGCGAGACCTAAATAGCAATGAAGGGAAGACACTATAGTCAGTTATTATTGATCATCTCTACCTGCACTTTATTTGCAAGCACTTTTCAGGACTTAGTGAGTAATAAATAAAGTGTCTCTAGATCACCTTGCTGCTTCCCACTGCTGCTGCCTCGTGAATGCAGTTCTAGTTGTGTACCTCCTGGTTACACACACTAAGGAGGTGGGACCTTCGAAAGAAGTGCAAAATATTTCCAGTTATGATAAACACCCCCAGTGGATGCTATTGGTTCCTTGCCCAGGAGGATGCACTCATCTCCCAGCTTCTCTGATTATTGCTCAC